ATATATACCATTACCACCACCATCACCCCAACCACCACCATCATCTCCACCATCACCACAACCACCACCATGGCCACAGTTACCACCACCACCCCATAATCTATAACCATTATTATCATCATCACCATTCCCATCACAATCACCACCGTCAGGTTTTGCTACAGGCTTCAATTGCCTGGCTATAATCTGGAAGTAGCCCTATAGTGGTTAGATAGCCCACTGCCTGTGCTATGGCCGTGGTTGCTCAATTTGTGTCACACAGTGGGACCGGGGCCTTGGGAGCTGACATTGTGCTTGCCACACTTCTGCTATCCTTGTGAAAGACAAACTGAACCCATGTGGGTCTTGTGTCTCTTTGCTGGCAGGGTTCACGGAGGTGTGCCAAGTCCCCCAGAAGCTCCAGCAGTGTTAGCCACCAGCCTGCCACTCAGGCACTGTCTTAGTCAATGTCTCCTTGCTGCGGAAAGACACCGTGACCCTGACAACTCTTATAAAGAAAAGCATTTCAGCGGGCTGGCTTACAGTTTCAGAGGGTTAGTTCATTCGCAGCATGGCGGTAGGCAGACATGGTGCTGGAGAAGCTGAGAGTTCTATACTGGGATCTCAGGTGGTAGGGAGAGACACTGGGCCTGGCTTGGGCTTTTGAAAACCTCAAAGCCACTTCCAATGACACACTTCTTCCAACAAGGTTATCCCTACTAATCTTTTCAAATAATGTCACACTCCCTAGTGAGCAAGCATTCAGCTCTGTGAGCCTACAGGGACCACCATATGCACCACACTTGACACACAATGACACTGGTGAAATTACGCCTGTTGGAGAAAAGACACAAGATGTACTTCCTGCCTGGCTACTGGCCAATCAGCATTTTATTAAAATGCAATTGATGGGGGTACCGACGATTGTCCCACAGTAAGAAGAGGTCACAGCATCAGCAGAGTTGACAGCCAGGAGAGGAGGGAAGCAGGGCTCTCCCCAATCCCACCTACAGAGGAGTGTTTACAGGCTCCCCCCAGAGCCTAACTGGAACTGGTCCCTCGAGCGCTGCCCCTTCCGAGAGTCAGGGCATCCCTGAGATCATCCCTAAAAGCTGCCCAGGCTCAGCAGCCAGAGGGAGCATCCATGGCTGGAGGAAACAGTCACTCTTGCTGTACAGACCTGTACAGAGTGGCACTCTGATTAGTATGGTTCCAAGCAGCGGCCAGCTCTTCACTATAGGGAGTGCTCCCAGTGGGGAGCACCATCACATGGTGAGAGGCTATGACTATGAGACCAGCTGGTGACTGGGAGGGCACCGTGCTCCCTCGGCCCAGCCACATGATAGCAGGGATCACCTGTTGGTCTTCATAGACCATCTCTTTCCTCACTGCAGGGGAACTGTGTACAGTACAAGGTGGGATTAGGAGTCACTCCACCTAAAGGGCTGGTAGGGGCAGACATGCTGAAGGAAAATGGCCAAGAAGCTGCAGACAGCACTCTCTCTCAGGCCTCAGTGTCTTCTGGAGCCTTCAGAATCACGAGGGTCCATGATAATTCTGCGATCCCATGCAGGCAGCTGGCAGCACTCAGCAAAGGTGCTCCCTTGTGTTTGGAGTGCGACAACTGACTGACCCATCCTGTTCAGTATCCTTAACTTGGGCACCTGACACAGGAGGACACTGAGAGATCGGTCTTTCGAATATTGTTACCCTCAGCATCCCTGATCAGAGGTGAGTCTGCAGGGGGAATCCCAATAAGGTGGGCTGTGCCAGACAAAAATCTGTCTTCAAATGAAAAGGCCACACACACACACACACACACACACACACACACACACTCCTACCTTCCACATACAGTCATTCCACAGTAGGTCTGTACAGCACCTTAGGCTCTCTGCAAACCCCAAGGTCCCCGAGAAAGCCTGGGCCTGACATAAATGAGCTTAATTAAAAGGCCTACCAGGACTTTAGTTACAAACCAAAACTATAACAAGAAGAACTACCTTATGAGTATAGGTCCGTTCGGCAATGTTTGCCCTGGAAAGGATCCTCCAAGAAAACACGCCATGTTCATTTTCACCAAGGGACAGCCAATAGCCAGTGGGCTACCCAGTGTCAGCTGGTACCTGTCAGTGGAAGCCAGATGATGCAGGCCCAAACCATGCAAAGACAGACATTATGGCCCTGGCTAGCACAGGCCTACTCTCTGTTCATGCCTCACATGGAGACTATGGAGAAGGAGCCCCTGGCAATGAGTATCAGTGGAAGCATCAAGATACCTGATTAGCTGGGCAGTGGTGGTGCACGCCTTTAATCCCAACACTTGGAGGCAGAGACAAGCGAATCTCTGCAAGTTCGAGGCCAGCCTGGTCTACAAAGTGAGTTCCAGGACAGCCAAAGATACACAGAGAAACCTTGTCTCGAAAAACAAATAAACAAGATGCCTGATTATGTAAGCCCAGGCAAGGACCACAGCCACCCAAACACAATGTCACGCAGGCATGGCAATATTTTGGTGTTCAAGACTGGACCAAAACCCAACACATAAAGTCCAGGGAACCTGACAAATGTGCCCACACACCAGATTCACAGCCGATTGATAAAGGAACACTAGATGCATAGTTCAACTCTACCAAGCTCTGGCAAGCACTCTGTGGACCCTCTGACCTCCCGGAAGTACCCCTGAACGAAGCACACAATACATACCCTTTGTGGGAAGGACACAATCCCCACTTACAGAGCGAAAGCAAACTCTCTATTCCCAACATTACTGCTTCCGAACATGACCCGTGCCTCTCTTATATGTCTAAAACTTCCACCAGGGGACAGCTATTTGAACACTTGTGAGCACTACATGCTCCCTGTCCCCCACAGGCAGGAGGGTGCCATGAAGGTGGAGTGTGGGAAACCCAAGGTGGCTCAGTCAGTAACGCACTTGTGCAAGCATGGTGACCTGACTTCTGTTCCCAGCACCCAGTGGGCACAGAGGTGTGCACCTGCAGCCGCAGACCTGCGGTGGGTGGCAAAGAAAGGAGAACCTTTTTGGCTCGCTGGTGAGCCAGTCTAGGTGAATCAGTGAGCCCCAGGCTCAAGGTGAGACCCTACCCCCAAAATAAGGTAGAAAATGGTCAAGGAAGATGCCTTATATTAGCTTTTGCTTTTATACATGCACACGCATGTGCACACATGCATACATACACACACACACAAAGATGAAATGGATTTATTAAAATCCAGAATAAGTAGACTGTAACTGTGACCATCCCCCAGAGGGGCAGCTAGCAAAATATCAAACCAATATGAGGCAGGAGGGGAAATGAAGAAGGCCGGCATAGATGTAAGAGACGCCAACCACCCCATGTCCCATCTTTCAGTCTTCCCTCCGGACTCCAGGTCTACTTTCTAGGAAGCCACAAAGTGAAGTGGAGTGACATCTGGTCTGCAGATTGGATTCTCTTATGGCAGTAAAGGTACTGATGACAGCAAGCAACCGTGACCTCCCAAGACTGCCCTCTTGCATGGCTCACATGTCAAAAGCCAGGAGGTGTTCTAGGCTGGACACTTAAAGGCTATAAAAGAGTCCATCACCGAGATGGCCCCGCCAGCCTCCGGATGCACCAGATGTGGGTGACTGGTACCAACTTGCACTGTCGGTCACTTTTCCTCCTGCATCCTCCTCCATGTTGATTTTGTCCTAAGGGTGTGCTACAGCCCTGGCTGCTCCTGGAACCTCCCAGGACACTGTGGAAACCCTGCGGACCCACAAGAACCAGAGGCCCAAGTTCAGTTAGTGTTGGAAGCAGAAGAGTGGGTGGCAGGGTGTTGTCAACAGCTGGACCGAGTCACAGGCACTCAGGGCTGCCTTTGAGAGAAGGGCCTCCATCAATGTGACCTTTCCAAGGACCTTCCTGGGGACACAAGTTCCTGGTAGAACTCAAGCCCAGGCCCTATGTTCACGCTGGAACATTTGGTGGATCCAGCCAGAGATGACAGCAAAGGAGAAAAACAGCCTCTCTTCACACAGCGCTTACATTTTCTGAGCGGCTCTGAAGGTGATCCTCCCTGAGTAGTGCTCACACGGGCCTCAGCCCTGGCCTTGGGTGTGTACCTTCCTTTCTCAATGTCTCCCTTGCCTCTTCCCACACAGGCTGAATTCCCGGAGCTAGACACAATGACCCAGAGCCCAGCACTGTGCCCAGCCTCACCTATGGTCCTGAGCCAGAGATGTTCATGTCAGGGCACTAGCAAGTCTCTAACATCCCTGCTGTCCCTCCCACAGAGAGGCCACAGTGTCTCGAGTATGTCATTTATGGGTCACCTGCAGTCTGCTGGCAAGCGAGGCCAGGTGAGTGACTGCTGTTGTCTACGTCCCATGCCTTTGCCAAGAGCAGGGCCTGCCAGAGGCAACCAGGCAGCTTGGCACAGAGCTGAGGTGTTCCTGCCACAGGGTCCTCCTGCGAGGCCAGCTGAAGTCTGAAGCCCAGCTGAGGAGGAGGCAGGTCCCCAGGCCCTGGTGGGGACTCATGGGAAAAGGAACGAACAGACAGTCTTCTGCTGCTTGGGACCTTCTAGCCAGGAGCAGAGAAACAGAAATGAGATGAACAGTAACGTGAGAATTTCCATTTCAGTCCAAACAACGGGATGAAGCCAGACCTTGGGGAACGGCTGCTGCGCTCAGTGAACTGGCCTGGCAGAATGCTGGAATCATCTCCACCATCACAGGCACGCAGTCCGGAGACTGACAGCTACTGAGCAAGGGCGGAGGCAGGGTGAAGCTGGGGCTCTCACCCAAGATGGTGCTACATCCGGGGACAAGATGATCAAAGCCCAGACCAGAGGCCAACAGAGAGCTATCCGCTATGGGGTCATACTGCAGCAGCTGAGTGTGTCCCTGTAGGAAGCAAAACACCATCTCTACAGCCTGCCCCAACCCAGGCAATGGGGGGCAGGTGGGTAGTGCTTGCTCCACCAAAGTCCATGGCAACCATGCGGCCCCTAGCTTTGCACTTGGCCCAGAGTGGCCATGTCACCAGAGTTCCCTAGAGTTCCAGTGGCCAGGCAGGCGGTGCAGCCGCACGTCTTCCTTCCGGATGTGCTCGTAACAGGACTGGGGGGAGAGATGAGCGAGGTTGGAACTTGCTGGCAGACCTGCTCCCCACTATAGGCATGGCCTTAGGCCCCGAGAGCCATCGCCCCCAGCTCCCTGTGCGCATACTGCTCCAGTTAGGCCCAGCTGTCAGCCGGATTCTGCAGAGGCTTTTCCTCTGCACGCTGCTCGGAGCTGCAGCCTGAAGGGCTGTGCGGCCCATCTGCCCTGTGAACAGCACCAGAGACCCCTCCCATGGAGACACATACAGTGGAGCTTTGAACCCTTTCTACCATGGTGTTGGGGGCAGGGAGACATTTCCTTGGGCTCCCAGCCCTGGTCCCTCACCTCCAAGGCTGTGAGCAGGAAGTCATGGAGGCCCCCTGTGTGGATGGGGTTCATCATGTCACGGATCAGGTGGATCTCAGCTCCCAGATGCTGAATTCTAGAGAAAGTACCATGACAACGAAGGAGAGGAGAAGAGGGGTGTTACAGATACCCGACAGCTGGGGGAGCAGCCCTGGCCTAGAGGGCTAGACACCTCTGGAATGGCCCCAGCTCTGTCCTGTGTTTGGTGTAGACAGGGTGGGAACGAGTCTCACTTCCACCCACCCCGCTTCCCACTCACCGAGCTCGCGACACCACATAGATGAGCAGAGGCAGGAGGTCATCCATGGGGAGTTTGTATTCCCGGCCCAGCACCCGCGACACCGTGGTCTCGATTTCCCCATAGGTCTTCTCCAGCACCTCCAGCTTCTCGCGAGGGTCCACTGTGGTGCTGTAAAGAGGGTGTAGCTCCTGGTCAGGGAAGAGAAGGGACGGCACTCCCGTGCCCTTACATACCTCCACTGCCACCACCACCACCATACACACATACCCCACACCCCCAAACCCGGGCAGACACTCACATGATCTTCTGCAGACACTCCGTGGCTGACAGGAAACACTTGTCCCGGACAAGGGAATATCTCTGTAAAGGTGAACAGGAGGGTAAAACAGGGATCCAGCGTGGCATGCTCATCCCCAGCGTCCCTTGCCACCCACACCTGCCCCACTGCTGACGTAAGTACGGCCCTGCACTATGGCTAAGTGGTCCAGGGCAGGCCCACGGCTCCACTGTGAGCTTCACTTTACGCAGCTATAAAACGGGGGGATGAGGCTCCAAGAGGTTGAAAGGACCAAGATGGACAGAAAAAAACAATCATTTGAACAGCCAAGGTCACTTGGTGACACACAGTTCCAAAGCTGATGTCAATGGTCCCCAGACCCAAGGACTTGCTGAAACTCAGGTTTCTGAGTTGACCCCTGTTCTTTGCTTCTATGGACATAAGGTAAGACCGTGAATATGAGTAGTTGGTAGATTTTGCCTAGCATTGCAAAAACTGTGGAGTGGAGCCCAAGAATCTGCTTCCCTAGGAGGCTCCAGAGAGTCCTGAGACAGCCAGGGGCCTCATATGCCCTTGACTTGTCTTATGAAGTGGGTCTGGTGGAACTCTATTTACACAGGAAAAAACTGGCACTCAGAGCTCAGGTAAGCTACCCACAGTCCCAGCCAAAAGGAAGAGCCTGCTGTATGGGACAGGAAGGAAGCCTAGGGTCTCCTCCCTCACCTGCCTCTCCCCAGGCAATCCTGACTCAGAAGCTCCAGGCTCCTCCTCCCAGGCAAGCAAAGCCCTGCCCTCTCACCTGATTGCTCGTCAGCCAGAGGTCCTTGAGGGGCCACAGGTGCCTGAAAAAGGGAGACAGATGGGAGGCTTTGCAAGTCTGAGCTCAGAGGACGCGCCCTATTTCTGTATACTATGGCTAAACAGACAATAGGAAGGAACCTCAGGTAAATACACACAGCCTGAGGCCAGGGGAAGCCATATGGTCCTGAAGGAAGTGATCTTCCACTGCTGTGTGACAAAGGGGCCCTGGGCTTTGGAGGAGAGTGGGAGATCCCAGCAGGGCCAACCAAGCACCTGGGACATGCACGTGTCAGGGGGCACTGAGGAAGAAGGATGTGTTAGAGGCAGTAGGGGTGGGGGAGAGCAAGAAAGGCACCATACTCTAGCGACTGAAAGCATTGGAAGTAAGATATTCAAAAGGAAAGAAAGGTAAAAAGGCCACAAGGCAAAATGTAGATGAACAGAAAAAGATTAAGTTATAAGAGCTAGCAAGAAACAAGTCCAAGCTAAGGCCGAGTGTTTATAACTAACAATAAGTCTCCGTGTCATGAGTTGGGAGCTGGTTGGTGGCCCTGGTCCACCTCACAGTTGAGGCTGGGTAGAACTGCCTGCTCCCCTAGATCTCTGGCTAAGCGAGTGAGCGAGCGAGCGAGAAGCTTACTTCTGCACATCCAGGAACTCCAGCAGCTTTGTGTCGGGAAACAGGCTGAGGTTGGTGATACCCTGGCTGTACAAGCTGTCCTCTCTCTCATGAAGAAGCAGGTAGAGTGTGAAGAGTTCTGAGTAGAAGCTGGGCAAGATGAGGGGCAGCAACAGCCCATGCACCTGCAAGTCCCTGAGGGGCCAGAATGGGTGGGAGACACTGCTGCCAGGGCCACCTCTGCATCTGCAGAACCAGCCGGGGTCTGTCCCGGGGACAGCTAACTCCTGCTCTATGTGGCTTTAGGTTCATCTCCTCCACACCTCAGCCTTGCAGTGCACAGGAAGGAGGAAGCCACTGGCAACTGTTTCCCCCTCTGCCCAACTCAAAGATGAGGCTGGAAGGGCACACTTAAGACAAAGATCCCAGGACCAAGGTCATGGGTCCCTGTGATGTATAGCAGACAATGCACCATGCCTGGTGAATAGCATACACGCCCAGTGCTTTCCAAAGAAGCATCGTCATCCAGACGGAGGCCCCAGATGCAAAGGCCTGGCCAGGTACCTTGTCTCCACGTCCTCCTCCTGCAGGGTCTGGCCCTGGCGCTGTAAGGCAACCGTCAGCAGACCTCTGCAAGCCAATTAGGAGAGCGTAATGTGCTGATGCTCACAGAAACAGAATTCCACCCTCCCAGTCATCAAAACGGAGAGCAGAGTTCTCCCAGAACTGGCCGCCTCGATCTGGATGGGATGCCTTCCGAGTCTAGCCTTTCCTGCCACTGGAAGTCCAAGGCTGGAGCTTCAATGTAAGCACTGGAGGGCGCTGGCACTCTAGTGGCAGCTGAAGCCCTATAGCTAATGCTCATAGGATCTAGGCTCTATCTGGGACAGGATAGACAGATCTTGAAACCACCCTCAGCCTACAGCAGGGGTAAAGTTCTTATGGGGTCAGGGGTGTGCCCGGACTAGACAGGGATTGGCCCCTGGCCAGGAGCTGTTGGAAGCCCTTGCTGACATCTCTGACACCTCTGGTCACCGTTGACACACTGACCAACCCCTGGTCCTGTACTGAGCAAGCCTTTGGAAAGGGCAATCCTGGCCAGTGCTGAGCCGTGCGTGTCACCCTGTACACTGGCTCACCTGTAGGCAGCCCAAAGCTCCTGGGCATGCTGCTTCACCTCCTCCTGGGCCATCCCCTGTAGGTGTTTGTTGGCTCCTATGCCTGCATATGTAGCCTGGAAGGTCAGCATCAGGGTACGGAGTAGCTTCCCCAGCGGGTGTCGGGGATTGCTCAGAGCCTAGGCCCAGGGAAGACAACAGAGATGCTCAGAGCCGGGATGTGGAGTCCAGGGACCAGCCTCCCAGACCGGGAACACTGAGGCCCTCTGAGGACCAGGAGCACCACGGGCCTGTCCCCTCCAGTTAGCACCATGCCCCAGCCTGGACCCTCACCTTCCTGAGGTACTGCTGCAGGGCCTGGGGCTCGCGGTGCAGCAGCAGCTCCTTCAGGATATCTTCCATGCTGCCCGCACAGTCCTTGGGGTGGCTCCTGGGGCACCATGCACAGTGTCCCTCACCCAGCCCTGAGCCAGCAGCCATCCCCAGCAGCTTCCCTAACCCCTCTCTGACCTGCAGGGACACCCAGAGGGCCAAGCTCACCTGTCACAGCACAGGTACTCCTGGGGTTCACGGAGCTCCCTGGAGCTCTGCACATGGAAGCCCAGCAGGGCTTCCTGCAGTTCCCCAGGACAGCCTGACTGCACGAAGTCCTGGAAGGGTCTGTAGACTCCTTGCCAGCGGCTCTCCACAGGGAAGGCACCCAGCCCCAGCTGTCTGTGATTGGGGAACAGCAAGAGATGTGGAAGACATGGGCAAGTCAGCAAGCCCGTGGGGCACGCAGGGTTGGTGGGACCAGCCTGGCCTGGAGTCAGGTCCCAAGAAGGGGGCAGGACGGAGAATGCAGACAGAGTTGACCTCCAAGGCAAGCAGAAGAGAAAAACGAGGCAGAGGGGCACGGGCGTGTGTTGAGACAGAGGAGAGACAGGGTACCTTGTCTGCAAAAGGCCTCGGGAGCTGGAGGCCAAATCCAGACAGTAGGTCTTGGATCAAGACAGACCAGTGCCTGAAAGTCCAGGATTTCCCTGTTTTTCGCTCCGTCCACAGGCTGAGTGAGACCAAACTCTTAGTCAAAGGGAACCCTGTTGCGCCGTCACCTCACAGGTACCCCACACCTGTACCCAGGACCACTGCCTCTACCAGCTCCTACTATGAGAAGCCACACGCAAGGACGATAGGTAAGTGAGTTCGCTGGACCCCTTCCCGACCTCTGAAACTCCATCTGGGACCATTTTCCATTATTCTTCCTTCGACACACCCAGATTCTCAACAAATATGGCAACTTTGAAAGCTAAGAGTTTCCAACAGGGGGTTCTGCTTTCCTGGGAAAATAATCATCTCCTCCTTGTGTTGTAGAGTTTCTTTCCTTCTTCATTTTGGCTACCCGGGAAGTCAGAGCCAGGAAGAGAAAACTATCTGTAACTGCGTGTCTATCTCTTTCTTTTAAGACCCACTCACAATTTTATATTTTTTTTAATATTTATTTATTTATTATACAATATTCTGCCTGCTTGTATGCCTGCAGGCCAGAAGAGGGCGCCAGACCTCATTACAGATGGTTGTGAGCCACCATGTGGTTGCTGGGAATTGAACTGAGGACCCTTGGAAGAGCAGGCAATGCTCTTAACCACTGAGCCATCTCTCCAGCCCCACTCACAATTTTATTTTCCATTCTTTTCCTTGTGTGTTTGACTTAGAAGCTATCTTGAAGAGAAATGTATAGCTCAATGAAAACAATAAAAAAGAAAAGAAAAGCTAAAACCAGGATCAAAGTGAGACTTACAAATCCTATTTTTCTTCCAGCTTATGTATGGCAGTACATTCACCTAGCCGTAGACTTCAAGAGTCTCTGGCTGGAAGACCTGGGGTTCTGGACTCTGGTAAAAGGCCTCCACTGAGCCCTGGGGCCTTAGGTGGGAAGAGACACACACCGCCGAATAGGCTGGGCTCTCACCTCCTGCGTGTGCTGCTTGGGTTGGGCGGGAGAGCGGCTGTGTCCAGCACTCCCTGTGTGTACAGTCCTTTATCTGTCCCACCGCTGAAGGAACCATCCAAGGTGAAACCATTGGGGAAGGTGACCTTGCCCTGGGAGCAAAAAGGGAAGGCAGGGATAACTGTGTGCACAGCGAGCTGTGCCAGCCAAGTGTGTCAATGTTGACCCGCTTGGGTCAGATGGAAATGTCCAACCATGAGTTCCACCTGTCCACTCAAGGTGCTGGAATATTCTAGAAGTCTCACCCACCTCCGTTGAGAGGCTAGGGATTTAGAGGGGCAATTTCTTGCTGTGTGGAGTTGCTCCATCCTTCTACATCCAAACTATCCCCCAGGTTCCCAAAGGACCCAACATGGACCCAACTGCCTTTTGCCACATCAACTTGAGCAGGAAGAAAGAAAGAACTGTTACCCCAGGGACAGCTGCCAAAGGCTCGGGTGGTGACGGCTGTGTAAGGGCACAGCGTGGACACAGCCAGCCTGTGCCCTCTGGGCACGAGGCAAATCCTCCAGTCCCGTGTCACCTTGTTCTGCTAAGTCAGTACCGCACACAGCATGGCAAGGACATGGGACCCCTTGGACACCACGGAGGCGGGAGGGGTGTCCTCCAGCTGTCCATTCTTTACCTTCATCCTCAGCTCTGAGCCCTGGCTTTATGGGGTGGGATGGGAGATGAGGACGGCTCTCACCTTCCCTAGGAGCGTCAGGTCCCTGGTGAAAGTACCCTCGTACAGAGAGTCATCTTCACACAGCAGGATGCCTGGGCCCTTGAAAGGAAGTGAGAAAAGAGAAAGGAGGTGAGTTTAGACAGAAAACCAGGATGGGTGGGCACTGACCCACAAGACCAAGAGCATCCAAGCTCTGGCACCGCCCTCCCCAGATGTGCTGAGTCCCATGAACCCCACCTCTTGTGTCCCCTAGTTAGCCCTCAGATGAGATTCCTCCACCGGAAGTGTTGGCTGCCTCTGCTTCCCTGTTACTGCCCTGGATCCTCAGGGCCAATCAAGTCCCCTTTCTACTGCACCTGCCAGGAAACCCAGACAAGTTCATTTTCAACTTGTTTCTGACTCTAGTTTGTGGGCCTATGCTTGCCTTTCCTTCCCCTTGAGGTCTCCTTCAGTTCCTTACAGAACAAGGTGGGGTCTAAACAAACAACCCACAAAACCGTGCATAGCTTTTGGCCAGAGCCCCACCATGTGTCAAGCCCCTGGCCAGCAGGGAGGCAGAAGGTAAGAGCTGGGGGACTAGGGTTTGATCTCGGTCTCAGCAGGATGTGAAGTTGGGCAGGTTCTCTGATGCCGTTAATAAACATGCCATTCATACGCTAAGAACAATGGCACCAATGGCAGGAGTCACACAAGGACCCCAGAGGGATGATGGAGATTCCGTGAGGGCCAGTGAGGAGGTCTATGGATGCCACTAGCTCACCAATGACACCCTTGGTTCTTCCTAGCTGATGTATACAATAAGCACGGTTGACCTGAGCTGAAGATAAGGGAAGCGGGGCCAAAGTCAGGGTAGACGGGTGGAGAAGCGGAGCATCCCTTGCCATCCACTCCCCTTGTCTTTAATTCAGCTACAGACTGCCCAGGGAAGGAGCTACCACTCACGGCCATCTTGTCCCCTTGGAATGTGCCTTGATAGCAGACGCCTGCCTGGGTGACCACGACCCCAGGGCCATGACGCTGGTCAGCCTGCCACATGCCAATGTAGCGCTCACCCCTAAGGGAAGAGGGCATGAGAGGGGGCTCAGATCGGTTCCCTTGTGCCCTCTGGATGCTCTGCTGGCAGGGACTCCGGGGAGGCAGGGGGTGACAGGAGAAAATGAAGTCAGAAACCCAAGGAGAACAGAAGGACAGAGAAGGGAATCCTCCTTAGGAGAAGGCATGGTGGGTGGAGCCCCCTAGAGGTAGAGGGAAGTACCACAGAGACAGGCACCTGGGACAGAACAAGGGAAAGGCTGAGGGGTCTCTCTGCCAGCACTCACCTCTCGTTGTTGTCCTCAACGCCATAGCCACTCCTCTGGCCTCTCTCCCAGTGGCCCGTGTACCTGAAGGGCTGGGAGGCCTGCGGGGTACTATCAAGGACACCAAATCCATGCCGAAGGCCAGCCTGAAAATAGCCCTTGTACACCTCGTCAGTGCCATACCTGGAGAGATTCGCCAACAGTTGGCTCCACCTCGAGGAGCGCAGTCTAGAGGATGTCCCTCCCCGCTCCTCTTCCCCACAGGTCAAAGGTCACTTACTCACAGATGCCATAGCCACACATGCTGCCTTCCCTCCAGTGGCACTTGTAACAGTCAAACTTGTCCTCAGAGGCCTGGGGCACCAGGCAGATGCCAAAGCTGACCGTGTGGTTGGGTGGGATCAGAGGTGAGTATCCAGGCCACTTGCCCAATCAGAAGCCCCTGCCACATCCCTCCATGCTACCGAGTTGTCCTTGTCCCCCAGGAGCCCCTCAGAAAGCAGAGATCTCAGAGTCCCCTTGCAGAAACCCTCAGGACAGCCCTCCCCACTCCTATGGGAAGCCAGTCTCAGGCCGAGACCCACATTCCTATTCTAGCCAGGTCTCCCTTCTGTGGGGAGAGGAGCTGAGCTACCTGCCCACTCCTGTTTGAGGTCTGGGGATTTGGGGCAACCCAATGTACGACACCTCCTCTGATTGCCCCATCTGCCCAGTCAGCCTTACCCATGCTCCAGGCCCTGGCAGAAATCCCCCACGTGGTTCCGCCCATCTGGCCACTTCAGGGTTCCCCTGGAACACAGGTGAGGTCTACATCAGGCCATTAGACCCATCCCAGACAGCTGCACCCCCAAACTCTCGGCGTCCCTCCCTCCCTCCCTCTACCCTAGGGTCTTCCAACTAGACTTTCTGCTCACCTAGTCCTCACTTGAGCACGGAAATCCCTCACAGAACCCCCCACCTCCTGCACCAGCAGCCTTGGGGGACATTGGGGTACTCTCGGCACCTGCCATGGGGAGAACCCTGGAAACATCTATGTTCCTCTTTCCCCTTGAGCCACAGGAGGTAAATGCCAAACTTGAGAGAACTCCTAGTCGATGGAGTGTCTAGTCTACTCCCTTCTGATGACCGGCTGGAAGTGCACACAGGAATGGGGACTCACTTGCCATGGGGCTTGGCCCGACACCAATCACCCTCATAGGTAGCCTGGTAGAGCCGGCCCTCGCGGCGGAAAGTATAGGCCACACAGCGGCAGTCAGGGGGTACAGCTGACTCCGGGCCTGACCCCAGCACAGGGAAGTCCTTCTTGCCACGCAGGGCCTGGCACACAGCGTGGGTCACTTTCTGCCGCCAGACAACCTGGTGGGGACATGAAGGCAGTGAACATGTCATTGTTGCCATAGGTAACTCTGTCCCCAAGTACACTGCCCCTCTCTGGTGTGGCATCAGACCTGAGATCCTGTGCACAGCCCAGGGACTAGACAACCAGAACGCTGCACAGGAGGGTGGGCACAGGCATGACTTGGGCGGCTACTTCAGTTAGGGAAATTCCTTTTCCTCTAACATCCTGACACTAAACCCTAGGCATACCCGTGCTACCCTCCTGAGTCCTGTAGGACTGGCCCTCCGCCCTCCCCGGCTTCTGACTTCATCCCCACCATTCATGCTTCAGCCTCACTCACCTGGCCCTGGGGGTCTCTGGAGCAAAGGGAGAACTCTTCTTCGGGTGTGAGGATGCGAAGCACACACCTAGGAAGATGGAGATGACCTGTGAGTCCCAGTCCTGTCTAGGGTTGGCAGTGGGGCTCAGGTGAGAGCCTGGGGGTGTGAGCAGGTACCATGGAGCAGGCACAGGGAGGGAAGTCCGGGGACACCGGCAGAGGAAGTCACTCACTTGTCTTGGCCAGGATCTACCCACACCAACTTCAGGTCAAAAGTGTGGCTATTGTGGCCCTGGAAGGAGATGAGTGTTATCCAGAGATGTGCCTACGGACACCTGCCCTGGGGTGCGCCCCCCCCCATGCCGGGGACGAGCATCAGCCCGATCCCCTTCAGCGGCAGCTTTTGTACTTTGGGAGCTGGCGAGGCACCTGGACAGGCCTCCCTTACCATGTGTGGTTGCCAGGTTTTCTTAGAAACATAGTCGGCCCCTGGTAGCCCAGATGTGAACCTCTAAGGCTCCTCGCACCTGGGGACTGAGGCCGCCTGTAGAGCCTGACCCGTGTCCAGGTTCATGCGCCTCTCTTCACACTCTCCTTGCTGGAGCTGTCCGCTGTCCCTCCGTCACAGCCTCCTGAGCCTGCCCCAAGCTCTCCCCACTCCACCTTTCCTCATGGTGGTCCTCCTACCCTACGCTGAGCCTGACGGGACGTCCCATCTGGAGCGTCACCATCTCCCATTGGCTCAGCAGACCCTCACTTGACCAGGAAGTAGAAAGGGCACAAGGCCACAAGGGAATGGAGAGTTTATAAGACAGCAGAGCATCCCACAAAACGACAGCATGAGCAAAGGCCCAGCTAAAAACAAACCCATCCTTCTTCCTCCTTCTTCCATCCCTCCCTCGGGTTGTTTGTGTTAGACGTTTTGTAGCAGCAACAAGAAAAGGAACTTGTACAAGCAGGGAAGGACTAGAAACATCTCCAGTGAACAAACTGTGATGTCAGGAGAGGAGGCACAGGCACAATCAGAGGAGGTACAGGCACAATCAGAGGAGGCACAGGCACAGACACAATCAGAGGAGGTACAGACACAATCAGAGGAGGCACAGACACAATCAGAGGAGGTACAAACACAATCAGAGGAGGCACAGACACAATCAGAGGAGGCACAGGCACAATCAGAGGAGGTACAGGCACAATCAGAGGAGGCACAGACACAATCAGAGGTGGACACACACCCCAAACCAAGCCACCATGCTGAGGCAGGTGAAACATTGCTATGAGCCTAAGCGCCAGGTGAGTTTGGTCAAAGTTGCTGGCTGTGGGACAAACCCTGAAGCCCACATCCGTCTTCTACTTGACTTGCAAGCCTTGGCCTTTCAGCCACCACTCCCCCTCCCCCAGTCTCTAAGCCTGCGGCCTGTTCAGTTTCTCACCTGATCCCAGAGCCCCACCTCACAATAACCCTTCTAACCTGTAGCAGAACAAGGGCATCATCAAAGAGCAGCACACGTTCAGCCCGTAGCGGGGTGACCACCACAGCGATGTCCTGGCTGTCCTGTAGGAGTCGGTGGGCAGGGGTACACAGCACGTCCTGGTGGGACGAAGAGAGACGCAAGAGTTAGGGGTCTAGTGTGTTTACACTGGAGGCTGATGGAAGCCCTGCAGGCCCTCCTGCGCCCCAGACACCTCCCAGAGACTATCCCAGCAGGCCTGGGGTAGTCCCCAGCTCACTCGCTCTCCTCTCTCTCTCTCTCTCTCTCTCTCTCTCTCTCTCTCTCTCTCTCTCTCTCTCTTCTCACACACACACACACACACACACACACACACACACACACACACGCTCCAAGATTGGGGGGGGGGGTCATCCCTGGGCTAGCCCAGAAGGACAGCACAGCTTCTCTCTCTGGGGCTTTCCTGGGTGTCTCCATACTGCATCCCTGTCACAGCCAAGGGGTTCCTGTTACCCTCACAACCAGTATGCTATCCCCTCTGTCTCCCATGGTTATTCTGGTCCTCTCTACTGTCTTCTGTGGACACGAGGACTCTCTTTCCTGGAGGGGTATTATATGTTGTGCTAACAGCGTCATGACACCACCAGAAAGAAAGTCAGTTCTGCTGACCCAGCAGATGGCTGCATGTGACAGACAGCCACCAGGTTATATATAAGTCTTCTGTTGTTGAATGAGTGTGGGTTCAAGGTGGAAGAAGACTCGGAGGTACCTTAAGAAGGAAATAGCAAAAAAAGAAAAAAAAGAAAAAAGGAAAAAAAAACATAAAAAAAAAAGCCGGGCAATGGTGGCTCACGCCTTTAATCCCAGAGGCAGAGGCAGGCGGATCTCTGTGAGTTCGAGGCCAGCCTGGTCTACAAGAGCTAGTTCCAGGACAGGCACCAAAGCTACAGAGAAACCCTATCTTGAAAACAAAACCAAAAAAAAAAAAAAAGGAAATAGCTTTTCCAGCTGCAGGAGGATTCAGCCTCCGGGACTGAGATTGTCTGGCCGCTTTCCCTTAGCTAAGGGCTTCTTTATTTATTGTTTTCCAATTTACACCTTAGCCAGTTGGTTTCCATATCTCAAAACATCTTAATTAAGCTTCCAAAGGGACCACGGCAAATGCAAATTCTTGATAAGGAATACTGGGATTTTCCCAGCCAAGTTTTACATAGGCTTTGCACCTTTAGGGAATTTTCAGATTTGCATTTGTTAAACAGAAGGTGCTGAAGACAAAGGGCAGATTAAGGCTGTGTGCCAAACTTCCGGAGCCAGCTGCAGCTGTGTAGGAGTTCCCCCCAACAGTCTTCCTTCCAGATGGGGAAACTGAGGCGGGAGCTGCTCACCCAGCACAGCCTCACATCCAATATGAAACCCCCTTCCTTGGCTGCCCCAAAGCCCCAGACTCACCCTCACCCGGCTGCTGAGACTATGCCACAGGGCCTGTGTGGTCACAGCCTGGTCCAAGGCCTGCCTCATGAAGGACTCCAGGTTCCCAAACAGAGTGACTGCATGCATCACCCGCTCCTGGGCTGGGTGGTGCTGTGGGAGGACAAGACAGGTGGGGAGGCACTGAAGGTCTCGGCACCAGCCCTCATCCCCGTGGTGGCCATGAGGGCCCCAGCCTGGCCTAAGTTTAAACCACAGCTCACTTTTTCTCCCTGACTACTCTTTTGGGGACAGGGACATTTCAGTGACACCAATAGCATGGCCCTGGGTCATATGTCCTCACACCCAGTAGAAAGTCTATGTCTGCCCTTTGAGTGTCAACTGCCCCCATCAAGGAAGAGGCGTGTGCCCAAAATTCCACAGGGCAGATGCATGCCCCCAGAACCCTCCACAGAGCAAGGCTATGTTCTCTTGGGGCCCCTCCCTACTGTTTAACCTGGTCTCCCTGAGCCACGCTTCTCTCCGCCAGCTCCTCCTTTACACACACCCATCCTACCAACCTCATCAAGGGTGCCCCTGAGTCTCAGTAGGAGGAGCACATATTTCTGCACGTGCTGGGTGAGTGGCTGGCTGAGGGCCTGGCACAGCATAGTGTCCACCGAGCCCTCAGAGCTGGCACAGGACAGCAGCTGCCGCAGGGTCTTCCGCTGGCTCCTCCAGTAGTCACTGCATTTAGGAAGGGTCACGTACTACCTCCACCCCTTCCAGGCCCGCACCCACCTATCCACCCTGTTCTAACTACGCTCCGGGCTCCCAGACCCAGGACCCCAGCCCTGTACCCCATTAGTCCAGCAAAACTTTGAGCTCTCTTTCTGGAGGTGTTGCAGCCACACCTTAGAGGAGACAGGGACACTGACTGCAGACACCAGAGTGGCGGGTGGACATGACACCTGCTCCTTTGGGGTGGGCTTCCTAAAATCCCCCTCTTCTAGACACCCACACACACATAGGGAACTACCATGGCAGCCCCAGGCTCACCTCCTCCTCTTTGAAACCTTCTGAAAGGCCTGCATCACCACACAGTCGGTATAGGACTTGATGTACCTATGGGGAACCCAAGATCACCTTGAAAGCCCAGCTCCCAACACACTCAGCCCCTGCCCTTTTGAGGTCCCAGATCCCACCCACAGAACCCTATGGCCCAGGCAATTCCTTGATACCCTCAAGCCCTGACTCAACAGTTGTATCTTATAGGCCTGATCCAGCTCTGACCCTGCTGCCAAGCCAACACCCGACCCAGGAACCCCACTCCAGGTGACGGTGACCCTTGACGGACCAAGCAGCGGAGGTGACACTTTGGCAGTGTGGCCAAGCCACAGACTGCCCCAGGGGGTCTTACTCCATGTGGGCCTGTAGGACATGGTCAGTGTTCTTCAGCAACAGCAGGGCCTCCAGACCCATGGAGGGTGGGTGGTACAGCCTCTGCCGCAGCGAATGCAGGCTTTGTTCCGTCACCTCCATTAACCGCTGGGTACTTTCATGCAGCTGCTGCAGAAGTCGAAGGCACTCTCTGCCACAGAGGTCTGAGGGTTCGGGGTCTGTGGAAAGCACACCCTCCTTGAGCTGACATTGAGGAAAGATCCTGTAGCCCTGGGGTGCTCAAGACAGTACCAGCACCCCTAGACTCTAGGGCCTAGGGCTCCTCAGGGGCAGGGCATGCTGGGGTAAAGGGCTGAACTCTGGGGTAAGCCTGGTTGTGCATATGCCTCCTACTTAACAGGACAACTCTAATTATCTTGGGGGAGCCAAGTTTCCTAGCTCCCTGATTCTCTGCCTCTTCTCTCTAGACCCAGAAGCAAACTGTAGAGTCTTCAGGGTCGGTCCCCAGCCACCTTACAGATGCACAGTGAGAAGAAGGCGCTTGCCCAAGGTCACATGACAAGAGAGATGCCCCAGTGAAAGGCTTGTGTTCTGCCTTCTAGTCAGGCCTCCCCAACGCACCACCAGGAGCCCTGAGTGGAAGCAAGAATTGAGGCAAGCGGTATAGCTAGGCCTGTGGTCTTCAGAGGCCATTTGGAAAGGGACCCACCAGTTCCCTGTGACCAAGGCCTCAGCTCCATCAAGAGATGGCAGTATCAAGTGCCACCACTCCCACGTGAGGCTGAGAAAGCTGCCTCAGGATGTTTAACAAGGCAGGACTCTAATCCCTGGGGACCACCGTGGGCCTGACTCACCAGCTAACAGCAGCGGCTGGAGAATGAGACTGTTGGTGCGGGCAAGGGTAGTTGAGAAGACCTCCTCCAGCCGAAGCAGGTCTGCCTCCTCAGAACTACACATAGCCAGGGTGTGAGGCAGGGCGCCTATTGGAGAGAAAGGACACGGGACACAAGACAGGGTCACAAATATCCTCCCTAGTTCCCAGAAGCAAGTCCCATAGCCATCCACAGCAGACTCTCTTAGTCCAGCTTCTCTCACAGAGGAGATCGCTTCTGGCCACTGACCTCTCTCCTGCTCCCTCATGGGGCCCTGGAATAGGAGAGCTGAACACTACCAAGGAAGCATCCCTTTCCACCCAAGAGCAGGTCTCCTTCAGCTCAGTTTGGTCTGTTCAAACACTGCCGTGGGTCCCCGCACCCAGGGAGATGACTATCTAGTCATTCTTTGCCCTGGCCACCTTTCCACTGAAAGTTACCACTTGGGGACTCGGGGAACCGGGACATGCATGCTATCAGAAGAGTTCAACAATATCTTGATGGCCAGGCCCGGGCTCCTTGTCACTAGACAGAGCTGAGTAAGTCAGGAAGGACTTGAGGCAAGAGCCTCTGGAGGCTTCCTGCTGAAGCCGCAATGGGACGACAAAGATGAGCAGGACACTGGGGAGGCTGAGGCAGCAGGATCTTGCTGTAAGTTTGAGGGCAGCCTGGGACCTTATCAGAAAGGAGGAGAGAGATGAGGAAAGAGGGGAAGAGGAGGACAGCATAGTAGTGGGAAGACATAAAAGCAAAGGTTCATTGGAGTGTCGGTCCAGCCTGGGAGGACGGCCCACCTTCATTGGCCAGAAGACAAGCTTGAATTGGCCCCAGTCAACCTTGAAGGCATAAAGGGCTTCAGAGCAAGGTGACAGCAGACCGAACATCAGACTCAGCAGAGCCAGGAAATGAACAAGCTCAGCACGGGCAGGAGCCCATACCCTATATGTCTACCTCCCCCGACCAGACTAAGCTGGTACCACTCAGGAACAGGGTCACTGGGGCAGGCGGGCAGGCAGGTCAGCTGGAGCCTTGAACGGTTTTGCTCTAAATGAGGGATCTTCTAAGAAAGCAGCGATGCAGCATCCTGACTTGAGGCAAGGGTAGTGAGGGAGCATGCTTTGACCCACCCTCCATAGTGGGGCTCTCTGTGACCCTGGGCCCAGGCAAAGCCTCGCCCAGCAACCCCTGCTGCCCTCATTTGACAAGGATGATCATCTGTCCAAATGGCTGATCTGACAGATGCCTCAGGGTGGAGTTAAAGTGTCTTCACTCTGCCTAGCCCTTACACTCTGAAACACTTAGATTAGCAGACCTGGGTAAGGCAAGAGATGCCGTCAGGACAGTTGAGGATGGGCAGGGGACATCAGGCAGATCCCAGTAAATGGGAGGGGGATCGGTCTTCCTGAATCCACCCCAAAGATGCTACAGGGGCATCACAGATCTCTGGGAGAACCCAGGACTCCCAGAGAATTGGCTCCAGAAGAGAGGAGGGCGGGAACCTCAGGATTCTGGCCCTGATCCTGGGCCAAGGCATTCCTGCCCCACCTTTCCTGCTGCCGTTCTGTGTGGGGAGGGTGAGGCTGTGGGAAGGAGAGTCAGGAAAAGGAAACCATGGGACACCCAGCTGCACCCATCTTTGTTGACTGTTATCGGAGTCCCCTGCACACAACTGGAAGAAGAGAAGGACAGATACGGAGCCTCTGGTTCAGTTCCCACTGGCCAGGAGAGTCCAGCTGCGGGGTTACAGTGCGCCACATGGCCCGGACCTCCCTGGCCCTCAACCATGCTTCCAGAAATTGACAGACTAGAAAATCTATCACTGCAACCTTGAACTACCCTGGTACCCAGCCTACAACCTCACCTGCTTACCAGAAGCGAGCATCTCGATCTGTTACATCACAGCCCACCCTCGTCCCTGGTCCTTTCTGAAATGGATCTAACTAGATGCAAACACTTCAGACTACCATGGTTGCCCCTCAGAAGGACAAACTGTAGAGAGAAGCGTCTTTTGACATAGAACCTGGGCGTTAAGCTCCACATCCCCAAACATCCCCAAAGCATGGACTAGACCTAAGCGGATCCTACACACCCAGGTTAATAGTATAGTGACTGACTCCACAGTGCTTCCCAGGCCAGTGGTCCGGGAAGGATTTCCACCCCCAGGAAATCTCGTCACCCAGAGGAAAAGGGAGAAATTAAGCAGAGACAGTGACGTGAGTCTCAGAAAACGGCACTTGGGCCTGGGAGTCCGATGCAGAAGGTCTGGGCTGGGAGTGTTTGAGAGTTGAGTTTGCAGGGAAGTGCAGTGTGGAATAACAGAGAACTCTCCCCCCAATCCTGGGCCCACCACCCATCCCATTCCCCTCTAATCGAGGACAGGACACGGCCTCCTGAGAGTCTCCCTCTTGCCAACTCTGGGTTCCTTAGTGGCAGGCAGGCTGTGTGAAGGGAGAAACTGAGGCACAGACAGTCCAGGAAGCCCTAGGGACTGTAGACAAGTGCAGAGCTCGGACCTCAGCCTCTGACTCCCGGCCCTAACAGGCTCGCCAGAACGAAGTGGTTCCGAGATGCTGGGTGACTCACTGAGGTAGGTACATTCCGGAGGGCCCAGCCCCCTGTCTCACTCGAGGTAGACTGGATGCTCACAGATAGGGTGAGGCCAGACAAGTAAGTTGGGTCGTGCACAGGTGAGTCAGCTATTGTCCTTGTGGTCATCTGAACAGCAGTCTGACCTGCTCCCTTTCCTCTGCATTCCTGGCCTCTGTCCACACCAGACTTCCCCTGAGCGGGGTCACTGGAGCCTTCCCCACCCTCATCCAGCCCTGACCCCTCAGGCCCCTCAGCCGCACCCTAGTATGGCACTCACTCTGGTATTTCCTGGTCTGGACTGGCATGGACCTTATTTTTGCTGGGAGGCCTTTTCCTAGACCACGCTGGAGGCCCATTAATCAACCTACATACCCAGTGGGCTGTGGAGAGTGTCTGCCCCAAGGAAGCAAGTGGGTAGAACAGTCGCACCTGCCCCTCCAGGTTTCAGGCCCAGCTCTGCCTCTCTAAGGGTCCAAGATTCTGGCCCTAGACACCTCCCTGTCTCTTCAGTAGTGTCTGTCCCAGCTTCCCCTTCCTCTGCCTTCCTTGGCGCAGTCCCGGGAGTTGTCCAAACTACTCTGCTCCAACCTTTGGGCATTTGTCTACGCTCCTCCCAGGCAAACAGCACCACCTTCTCGACTTCTCTGTCAGCCCTTCCGCCCTGACCAGCCAGGTCACCTCCTCCTGGCAGTCCCTCCCTCTGGGTGATACACTGGCACACGGATCCTGGCTAGCGCTCCTCACTGCCGCAGGGGTTAGGACCCCGCGCGGCGTTCAAACAGGAGCCAGGTGGCCGAGGGAGAGGGAGGAGGAAGCTAAAATCTCCGCCTAAACCGCAGATGGAGGGATCCTGACCATGGCAGCGGGAGCAGGCGAGAGCCCCCACCCGCCGCGGAGCTCGTGGGGCAGCGGACCCCGCCCACCGAAGCGTGCCCTTACCTGCGCCACGCGCCGCTGTGTCCCGAGTGGCCGCGCAGCTCCGTGCCCCGCCGCCCTCCCTCTCCGCGCCCCGCCCCGGGGTGTTGCTCGCACGGGGGCGCCTCCGAGGAGGCGGGGCGCGGCCTCGGATAGTCCCCGCGCCAGTAACTCTCTTTAGGCGGGTCTACTGCCACCGCCGGACAGGAAAAGTTCTGCTCCGGCCGGCGTGCACCCCAGGAGAGCACCCTGGCCGTCAGTCGCCTCTTATCTTCCCCTCCCAGGTCCGAGGACGGCGGGCGGTGCCTGAGGCCACCCGATTTTCTTGCCCACCGACTCTGACCGGACTGCAGCCTTGGGACCTTGCCGACCCCTTTTGGGTCCCCGAGCCCCCATCCTCACTCCCACACCCCCGCGAAGGAGTCCTTGGTATATTTGGGAAACTTGTTGCTTAGACCAATCGGCCATGATGACCCGGAGCCCCTAAGCTGGGCTTCCTTCGGTAGCAGCTACTGGCCGTGTGTGACCTTGAAGGAGGCCCCCTGCATCCATTCCGGGTACAGCCTGAAGCTGGCCAGTTTCCTGTGCCAAAGCCTTCGACCTTGGAAAAAGCGGCGCAGTTCCAGACCAAACTCTTGGAAGGAGAAGGGATCATGGTCCAAACCTGTAACAAAGAGGGCTGCTGTCTGGCTGCCGGGCTCCCTTTTTGGCCGGCAAGTGAGTCACCCCGGCACCTGCAGGGGCACCTGGCCTCCAGGGGCTGATTAGCCTGGCTGAGTTGGTTCTGACCCTTTCAAGTTTGAGCACAGAGGGAAGAAGCCTGGGAAAGAAACAGCTGTGAAAGAGAGTAAGGATGGCCCACCTGCCCCCGACCCAAGTCTTGGACGGCCTCCATCCATCTTGCCGGGAAGTAGAGGGACGTCCAAGAAGAGACAACTCCAGGAAGGGGCCTGCCAACTTTAGCAGGCCTGACTCCCTTTGGTTGTTTTTTGGTGAGAACTTAAGTTCTGCCAAGCTGCCCTACAGTGCCAGGCTCAGAGTTTGTTGCCCTGGGCCCCTACCACACAGGTGACACTCTCGTTCACCCCCCTTTCCCACACTGCTCTACTCTTGGGTCTCCACTTCAGAAACCCTCCTCCAACCTCTTCTTCCCTCCCCATCTGGCCAAGACCTCGCCCTCTTTCCAGCCTTTGCTTTCTTTCTTTTTCTTTGAAATACTTTTAAAAGGGTAAATACATTACAGGTTTCTCTTTTGTGTGTGTGTGTAAGATGTGTGTGTATATGCAGATGCACATGTGTGGATGTGTGTGCACATGTAGCTGTATTTCCTCCGGCGCTGTCCCTTTTATTTTTGAGACAATCTCTCATTGGCCTTGACCTACAGCATTGGCTAGATTGACTGGCCAGTGAGTACCGGGGCTCTGCCTGTCTCTGCTTCCCGGGTGACAGGATTACAAATGTTCACCACACACGGCTTTTTCACATGAGTTTTGGGGATGAAACTCAGGTCCTCATTCCTGCAAACAAGTACTTACTGTGCTTTCTGTCTTTCATATTTTTTTTTACAATTTATTTATTTGCTTTATGTATGAGCGCTCTATCTACAGGCACGACTTTATGCCAGAAGAGGGCATCAGATCCCTCTGTAGATGGTTATGAGCCACGTGTGGGTGCTGGGAATTGAATTCAGGACTCTGGGACAGCAGTCATCTCTCTTAGCCGCTGAGCTATCTCTCCAGTCCCTCACCCCGAGTTTTGCCTTCTGCACCCTCTCCTGTGCCCCCGAGGGAGCCTCGTTCCCCAGAGCTCTACTTCTTTACCTCTGCTTTCTGCCTGCCTCTTTTAGCAGGCAGGGCAGCAGGCCATGAGCTAGAAAGAACCGGTCTGTGTCAGGTACCTCCAGGTCAGCCCTTTCCTTCTCTGGCCTCAGTTTCCCCATCTGCGCAAGTGTTTGAAGAGAGACCATACTGCCTGGGCTCCTGGCAGAAAGAAAGGAAGGACTGTCCCAGTCTTCTTCCCCAGATATGACTTCCTGGTCACAAACTTGCCCCTGCGTGTGGAAGGCTACTGAGCTCTGACCACCTCACAGGTATCAGCGCTTCCTGTTTTCTGCCATATGTGGTAAGACCTGGCCAGCATCTCTGCCAGTTAGTCCATGACTGTGGATCCGGTTCTGCCCCCTTGGTCTTTCTACCAAATCACAGGGATCTTGCTTCAGCTCCCCGCAGACATAAACACATCCTGTACATACATGCAGTTCCACAGGTGAGAAATGAGCCAGTGTGCCTACTCAACTGGGCCATATGCCACGCAGCTCCTCGGTGGCAGCCCCATTTGTACATCCACCTCCAATGACACAGACTGACACACAGACACACAGAGAGCAGCACGCGGAGTGCAATGCACTTCCCAGCATACCAGCATCTTGGTACACAAGCTCCAGTAGTTCATGTACACACAAGTCTGTCCCAGGCTGGGCTCAGCCCTGAGCTATTCTGGGCAGGGCCCAGGGCCAACAACTTCAGGGACAGCCAGCTCCCAGCACACCCCAGCTGCCGTGTCACTGGCCCAGGCCTGCTGACTCCCACCCCCACCCCAGGCTAAGTCCATGGTGGCCTGGATCCTAGCCTGGCTCTGTGATTGGGCGGGTGGAGGGTTTTCCGTTCACTCCCCCTCAGCTTCTCCAAAGCTAAGCCTTGAGTTCCATTGTCTCAAACTCCAGGAGAGAAATGGCCACGGGGTCTCCTGGCCACTGCTCAGCTCCCTGCCCATAAGCTTCCAGCCCGGAGACCCTGGAGGCTGGATTGGGTCCCCACAGGAAACCCATACGATATAAAAATAGTTCAGGAAGGACAAGGAATTGTCTGCCTGCCAGCACTTAAGCCACCACACAAGAAGGGGATTCTGTTTTCCAGGGAGCCAGAACCCACCAACCCCGGCCTTTATGGGCCCAGCTAAGGGGCAGCTACCCGGGCATGTTGGAGAAGGGCTTATAAGAAGCTGCAGCGATACCAGAGTGGAGAGAATTCTGGATCAGAGGCAGAGGACCAAGTTGGGAGTCGCAATTTTAGAGGCCTAATGCCGCAGGACACAGCTTCTCCCTAGGACTCCTCCCTCACGACAGAACCGGGTAGATCTGGCAAGATGGCTTAGCCAGAAAGGGCAAGTGCTGTACAGCCTGGCAACCTGAGTTCAGTCCCAGGAACCCATATAAAACTGCAAAGAGACAAACCACGGCACAAAATTGACCTCTGACCTCCACAGGCACACCGTGGCACTCGGCATTCTCGCCACCCACCCACACATGCCCACACTAATAAACTCAGGGCTGGAGGGCATGGTGGCACAGTCCTTTAACCTAGCACTCTGGAGGCAGAGGAAGGTAAATCTGTTTGAGTTTGAGGCCAGCCTGGTCTGCACAGCAAGCATCACGGCAGTCAGTGTCACGTGGCAAGACTATGTCTCACAGAAATAAAAAAAAAAAAAAAAAAAAAAAGAGAGAGGAAAAGGAAGGAAAGAAGGAAGGAAGAAAACAGGAGACAGTCAAAGCAAAGGCCAGCATTCTGGTAAGAATGTAAGTTTCATTTTCATTGAAAAACTGGAAGCACACTAAATGCTAATGGTAAGCATTAGCACTGGTCAAGAGAGATACATGGTTTTGTTCTTACTCAATGCACTGTATTATATAACCTTCAACAATGACAATACAAATGAAGACTAGCATTCAGAGGTTTGTCAGGTCCCTGTTTTACATAGAAGGACTTCAGGTTCGGCAAGCAGCAGGAGGGCTCCCAGTGACAGTATCCTAAACTTTTTGTGGTATTGTTTTTTGCAACAGGTCTTAGGGATTTCAGACTGGACTTGAACTTCTGATCCTCTCTCCACTTCCTAAGGGCTGTGTTTAAGCTTTTAAATATGTCAGATATTATATAAAAAATAAAGCAATAATAAATATAAATATATTCATATGCGAAATATATTTTATATATAAATATATAAATTAAACACATTTTTATATAAAAATACATATATTTATATAAAAATAAAGCAAGAAATATAATTTGAAAGCTTAATTATTTAAATTCTCTTATATTAACTATGTTTTGTGAATTTGGACTAACATCCCTTTTTGCCAACTTTTGCCAACTTTAGGGGGTAAAAATAAGAAAGAAAGACAAATAAGCTTTCAAATGCTGTCTCTTTTGTCTTTCTGTGTGGACCTGGTTGGCCCAGAACTCACCATGTAGACCGCAAACTTGCATGTTCCTCCTGCCTCTGCCTCCTGAGTGCTGGATTATAGGTGTGTGGGCAAGTCAGTCACCAGGTGGTATTTCTTATCAGTTCATAGCTTTATAATTCTTTGGTTATTAAAACTTAAAACTACCATACTAAGACTTTTGAGATACCCTGTTATTCTAAGTCAATTAATTGGACTTTGAAATCAGTATGACAGTAGTGTGTGTGTGTGTGTGTGTGTGTGTGTGTGTGTTGGGAGGAAGAATCTAGGGGGCACCGGATAAAAAGGCTTAGATTCAGAGGCCTGTGAGATTAACAGGGATTCATCAGCTCTATTCACGACCCTATCTGAGGTCAGCCTGGGCTACAGAGTGGAGAGACCCTGCAGAGATGTAGCCTGCTTTTCTCCTCCCTCCATTTACTTTATTTTTAATTTTTGCAGGGCTGGTGATTGGACACGGTGCTTTGTGTATGCCAGGCAAGTGCCCCGCCGCTGAGGTATAATGCTGTCTGACCCTACTTCTTGGTGGACAAACAAGACAACGGACCTTAATTTTTTTTAATTTATTTACTTTATTTTATGTATGTGGATGTTTTGCCTTTATGTCTGCCACAGGCTTGGCGAGTTCCAGAGGGCGTATCAAGTCTCCCAGAACTGGAGTTACTGATGGTTGTGAGCCACCGTGTGGGTGCTAGGAATCGAACATGGGTCCTCTGCAAGGGGTTAACATGCCCTTAACCGCTGAGCCATCTCTCCACCTCTCAGACAATGAATGACCTTGGAGCAGCAGGTGGCAGTCCTTTAAGGAGCAGCCCTACGCTGCTAAGGTGGCTCAGCTTTCCAAGCCCACAGCCACAGTATCCTCCCCTCCCCACCCCCATTAGCCCTGTGATAGCCTCTGGCTACTAGTTCCCT